ACTCTGGTCACCACATGTCAGAAGAAAAAGGCAGGACTCATAAGCCAAAATGCTATCATTTTTGGTAACTTTACGAAAAAGAGAACTGTGTTCTTTTCAACAGCTTTTTGCAAGGAATAGAGGCAAGAACTTCTTCCCTGGAAAGAGAACAAATGGCCAACGAGGAACAAGATCCAAATCTCTTTTAACAAGTGGGCAGAATATAGGCACCTTGTAGGGATTTAAATGGAAAATGTTGAAGGAAGAAAGGAGAACACACCACACTGGTATGACGAGAGACTCTAGCACTGGTTGGAGCAGCTAAGATGCCAGGAGGGACAAGACAGAGTACTGAGCAGGAAATGTCAAGAAAAGCAGTTAGTGGGAAAAGAGGAAGAAGCCGAGTTTGAGGAGCCATGGGAAACGAGTCCTTGAGGGCCTGCAGGTACAGAGCAAAGCCAGGGCCTTTGAGAACAGGTGTTTCATCCATACACGACATAAATGGGCTATTCTAAAGGAGACAGAGCATGATAGATTCTTTCAGAATAAAATACCTTCACTGTAGGCTCAGGAGAGGCACCAAGACAAGGCTGGCAAGACAATAAGATTCATTTTGGACCAATAAGAGAGGGAGAGGGGGAAACTGTGTACATGAGGCAAAGAGAAAGCAGAAACGCTGTTTTGCAGCTGAACATTTGGATCAGCCCATCTCTGCCCCGTTGAGCTCTGCTGAGGCGAGCCAAGGCTTATTAGGAACAGAGAAGTCTTTTAAATTGCACATTTCTCCTGCAAGGCACCCAAGCAAGTGACAGGAGGTGCTGGCCTTAGAAAATCACTTTAAGAGGGAAAGAAAGCAACTCTGCAGGGGTGGAGCAAAGGCTGGCTGCCTGTTATAATGAGGCACGTATAGACTATGGAGAAGCAGAGACATGCTGAGGAGGATGTTTACCAGGCTGGGGAGACCCAAGGCAGGTCACAGAGAATTCTGTATAACTGGTGAGGCCAGCAAAATGGAACCAGTTAAGGTTCCAGACCAAGGCTCTTTTTATTTACACTGAACACAGTAGAGCAATGGGCTGGGGGTGGGGGGTGGGGTAATAAAGAAATGAAACTCTGGATTGGATGGCCCAGTGAACTCAATAGGAGCTCAAGGACATGATGAAGGTCACATCCATCAGGGAGGGGTACCTCTTGCTTTCTGGCCTTTGCCCAGGCTATTCCCTGTCCTAGAATGCCCTTCCCCTGTCCGTGCATCTTCTGGCTCTTATTTGTTAAATACCTCAGCTCAGACATTGCCTTCCTCAAGAAGCCTTTCCTGGCTTCACTGAAGCAACCCCATTTGCCCCTCTCATGCAAGCTGGGTTAAAGGCTTCTAAAGATGATGTTGTTGGGTGTTGTCAAGTTGGTTCTGATGCATAGTGACCCTGTATAGGGTTTCTGAGGAGTGGTTGGTGGGTTTGAACTGTTGACCTTGTGTTTAGTAGTCCAGTGCTTTTCCTACAGCACCACACCAGGATGCCTCTGATGATGCTTGTGTTGGTGGTGGTTGTGAACTGTCAAGTCAGTTCCAACTCATAGTGACCCATCTGTATAGGGTTTCTGAGGCTGCAGATCTTTATGGAATCAAAGAGCCTCATCTTTCTCCCATTTTGACAATGCTATTTGTCAAATGCTTATTCCATCACTGTGCTGCTCCTGTTGTCTGCTTACTAAACTGTCTCTCCCCTACCAGTGACTACAGCTTGTTCATATTGTAATCCCAGGGTCTGGTCCATTACAATGAGAAGAACTGATACACTGGCAGCAACAATGCATTCAAACAGCAACTGTGAGGATGGCACAGGACATCCCATCACCATATCAAAAACTCTTTTGCACCCTCCATTTTCAGTAATCTCCTAACAGCCTTTAAGCTGTGCTCGTTCAGTACTCTCCCTGGAGCCTCTTGCCACAGAGTGCTCCCTACTGGTTACAGGGTTTCCTCTGGGGGGCTGCCTTCCTATGTTCCCAGTTTCATCTTGAGCTTGAGCTCAAGAGGGGAAAAGGCATTCCAGCAGCCCTAGTCATCACCAACACAGTCCCTGTGGTTGGGATCCAGGCCCCGAGAGCAGGATTTGGCTGGATGTGACGTTTAGTGCCCTCGTGGGACCCAAGGAAACTTCAGTTCTGGAATCTTCTCCAGGATCTTGAGGACTTAGAACCAGAGCCCATGAATGTTCATGCTCCCAGCTCTTACTCATGCATTTGTTCTACTCTACTGTACTCATTCATTTGTTCAACAAACAAGTGATGAGCCCTATACTACCAGATAATGGACAGAAAAAAATACATCTGCCATCAAGTCAGTTCACCTACTCATGGTGACCCCATGTATGTCAGAGTAGCGTTCAGTGTAGTAGTTCAGTGATGATTTTTCAGAAGTAGATAACCAGGCCTTTCTTCTGTGGAGCCCTGGGTGGACTTGAACCCCAGCCTTTGGTTATCAGTCAACCAAGTACATTAATCATTTACATCCTCCAGGGAATCCAGCTGGAATGGATTATTGTTGTTGTTATTAGGTGCTGTCAGTCTTAAAAAAGTTCATGGAAAAACATAATTGAAAGAGAATGAAATTTTCCCACAAATTATCTGAAACCCCCTCACATGGCCTGTAATGATAGAAATGCATTAAAGATCACATGATAGAATTTTGCAAGACCAACAATTTATTCATCACTACTCTATTTTTTCCAACAATATAAATGGAGACTAGACACATGGACCCTGCTGGATGGAATATACAGGAATCAAATCAACTACATCTGAGGAAAGAGGGGATGTCAATGACATCAGCCAAAACCAGGTCAACTAGCTTTTGCTCATATGCAAATTCAAGTTGAAGTTGAAGAAAGTTAAAACAAGTCCACAAGAGCCAAATGGCAACCTTGAGTACATCCTACCTGAATTTAGAGAACATTTCAAGAACATATTTGACTCACTGAACACTAAAACAGAAGACCAGATGAGTTAAAGGATGACATCAAGTACAGCACAGATGAAGAAGACAAAAGATAGTTGAAAAGACAGGGAAGAAAGAAAAGACCAAGATGGATATCTGAAGAGACTCTGAAACTTGCTCTTTAACGTAGAGATGCTAACATGAATGCAAGAAATGAAGTAAAAGAGTTGAACAGAAGATTTCAAAGCGTGCTCCAGAAGACAAAGCGAAGTACTATAATGAAATGGGCAAAGACCTGGAGTTTGAAAACCAAAAGCATTTCTCAAGCTGAAAGAACTGAAGAAAAATTCATGCCTCGATTGCAATATTGAGGCAAAGCCGTTTGAACTTCAAGGTGGATGGTTCAAACTCACCAGCTGCTCCTTGGAGACTCTATACAGGGTCGCTATGGGTTGGAACCGACTTGATGGCACTTAGCAACAACAACAAGAAGTAAAATGCTGAAAGACACAGGAAGCACCAAAAGAAGATGCAAGGCAAACACAGGGTCACTGTACAGAAAGAACTGGTCGATGTCCAACCATTTCAGGAAGTTGTTGTTAAATGTCATCAAGTCGGTTCTTGCTCATAACGACCCTATATAGGTTTTCCAAGGAGGGACTGGTGAATTGGAAGCGCCGACCTTGCAGTTTCTATCAACCTCACGGTCCAGAGCTTTATCCCACAGAACTGTACCAGGACCTCTTTCGGGAAGTACCATATAATGAAACATCAAAGGCATTGCAGGAAGAAGTCCAAGCTTCACAGAGGCGCTGGTGAATACCAAGACTTCAGAAATTGAAGGAATATCAACTGAGATGTTTTAACAAAGGATGCAACCTCAGAAACAATCATTTATTTGTGTAAAGAAACTTGGAAAACAGCTACCTAGCCACTAGACTGGAAGAGATCCATACTGTGCCCATTCCAAAGAATGGTGATCCAACAGAATGTGGAAACTCCCAAACAATATCATTAATATCACACACAAGTAAAAACAATTTAAAAACGGTTGCAGAAGTACTTGACATGGAACTGCCAGAAATTCACACCAGAATAAGAAGGTCTGGGAAAAGGGGTATCATCACTGATATCATATCTTGGCTGGAAACAGAGACTATTAGAAAGAGGTTTACCTGTGTTTTACTGACTATCCAAAGGCATTTGACTGTATGTATCATAACAAATTATGGATAACTTTGAGAAGAATGGGAATCTTAGAACACTCAGTTGTACTTATACAGAATCTGTACATAGACAAGAAAATAGAACAAGGGACTATTGAATGGTTTAGAGTCAGGCATGTTTTGTCTTATTTGTATCCTGTCACTATACTTATTCAATCTGGATGCTGACCAAATAATCCAATGGTACAGATGGTGCAGGACCAGGCAGTGTTTCATTCTGCTATACAAAGGAGTCCTGGTGTGGCACTGTGGGTTAATGCGTTGGACTACAAGGTTGGTTTGAACCTCAAGGTTGGTGGTTCAAGCTCACCAACAGCTCCTCGGAAACCCTATACACAGTCGCTCTGAGTCAGAACTGACTCGATGGCACTTAACAACAACAACAACAAACATAGAGTAGCTATTAGTTGGAACTGGCTCAAAGATACCCAATAACAATAAAAATCATTGCTTTGTAATCCAGACTCCTTAACATGGTCTTCCAACTTCTAAAAAATACAGTATCCTTCATAGAGTCACTTAGAGTTCCAGAGGTCTTTAGAAGATAGTCCAGAGTTCTTTAGGAGGTCCTATTTTCAGCCACCACTGTAGAATCCCTTTAAGACAGTCACCAGATGTTGAATAGCCCTCCAGAGGGGAAAACAGGATTTTAGCGTTGTCCAATTTCTGTGGTATAAAATACTCCCAACCTGGTTGAATTTAAACAGCCAATGTGAAGTTACTGATGGTGAACTTGGGAACAGATGCTCATAATTAGCTCTTGCCAGCTGGTACAAGCCAATGCTGGCACACCACTGGACCAATACCCACTCCTGTTTCCCCTGGCCATGAGCTCAAGATGGACACTCTGCACCTACCTCTCTCAAAGGAATTTTTGATGTCATTGACTTCCACCTGAGATCCTGGGACTCTGAAGATCCCCTGCTGCTGAAGTCCTGAAATAAATAAACAAATAGAATATGCCATGAGACCTTGAGCTCACCAGATCACTGGGGACAACTGTGACTCTGTCCACTGCTTTCCTCTTCCCCTACCATCCTTTATGAGCCAGGTATTCCCAATGAAAGTGTCATGGCAAAAGCCTACACTAGTGGTTTCTGTGGGACAAAACTCTCAGACACACCATGTCTTCATATGCCTGTGACCCCCTGTCCAGGCTTGGAGGAAATGTCCAAGAGAAGTTTATATCTACAATGGGCTGCCAAGTCAGCTGCCAATTTTAACCATCAGGTCAGCTCAGGCAAATAGCTGGCTTGGTGCACTTTGTCCATTGGGCTCACAGAAGAACCCACGCCAAGCAGCTAGGCCGGAGTTTACAGATGCCACTTTGGGTCTAACAGCCAGGGACTTGGGATAGGAATGATCGACTCCCCTCCCTCAACTGCTCCCTCCCACAGCTCCCCTCCATAGCACCTCCTTTCTTTAAGAAAGGCTGGAATCCAGAGTGCACTGTGGCCTGGGGATCAACTTGTTTACGGAAGACTATGTTATTAAAGAAAAACAATTTCTTTTATATGTGTGTTTCAGGTTTCTAAAGTTCACAGGAAAGAGGTGGTGGTGGTGTGGTTTGTGTGCCATGGAGTCGGTTCCGAATCTTTACGGGAGCAGAAAGTCTCATCTTTCTCCCGTGGAACGGATGTTAGCTTCGAACTGCTGACCTTGAGGTTCGCAGCCTGACTCGTAACCACTGTGTTACTAGAGCTCCTTAGAGGAAAGAGGAGACCCTGATAAATGATATAGCAGTAATGACATAATAGCAATTTTAGGACTGAAGGAATTCAAAGAGCCTAATTTATCCTGGTGTGGTGCTGTGGGTTAATGCACCAGACTGCAAAGCCGTTTGAACTGCAAGGTTGGCGGTTCAAGCTCACCAGCTGCTCCTTGGAAACCCTATACAGGGTCACTATGGGTCAGAACCAACTCAATGGCACTTCACAACAACAACAACAATAACAACAATTTATCGTAAAAGGAGCCCTGGTAGCATCGTGGATTAGGAGTTGGGCTGTTAACTGCAAGGTCAGCAGTTTGCATCTACCAGCCACTCCTTGGGAGAAAGATGAGGCTTCCTGCTCCCAAAAAGATTTACAGCCTCGGGAACCCTATACAGGCTTAAAGGAGCTCTGGTGATACTTTGGGTTAGACATTGGATTGCCAACTCTAAGGTCAGTGGTTCAAACCCACACCTGCTCACGAAAGAAAGAAGGGGCTGTCTGCTCCTGTGCAGTTTCAGACCCCCACCCAGGGTCACTATGAGTAAGAATTGATTTGATGGCAGTGGGTTACCTAATCTTAAATGGAAATTAATGGAGGAGGCTGTACTCCTTTCCCTGGGTCTCAGACAGCTTTTCTATATAAAAAAATTCTCTGCATTATAATTTGGAAACATGCTGACACCTCAAAGACAGGCTTGCCAACAGTAAATACTCACGGTTGCTCACCAATAGGTTGGAGGTTCAAGTTCACCCAAAGGAGTCTCAGAAGAAAGGCCTGGTGATCCACTTTCAAAAATCAGCCATTGAAAACTCTATGGAACGTAATTCTACTCTGATAAACATGGGGTCACCATGAATTGGGGTCAACTTGGTGGCAACTTGGTTTAGACCTACTATGTGCTTGACAAGTGCTTGTCAGTTTCTTTGGTGAATCAGTATCAAATTTCTGCCACCTGCTGGTTGGCTACCATCAGGTCACACTGGCCATTCTTTCCACCTGGACTCACACATGGTCAATTGTCACCCTCCCTCAGAGCCAAAACAATCCCACCAACCTCCAGCCACTCTGTTGTTGTTGTTGTTAAGTGCCGTCGAGTCGGTTCTGACCCATAGTGACCCTGTACAGGGTTTCCAAGGTTATAAATATTTACGGGAGCAGAAAGCCTCATGTTTCTCCTGCGGAGCGACTGGTAGTTTCGAACTGCTGACCTTAAGGTTTGCAGCCCGATTTGTAACCACTACACTACCAGAGCCATTCTGTATCACCCTTTAATTGTCTTAATGGCACCATCACTGCCTGAAATTATATTAATTATTTGTCTGCTTGATTATTTCCTTTTCCTTCTAATTGAAAATGTACATTACCTAGTGCAAATGTCCTGGTCACACTTGCATGCCAGTGTCTAAACAGTGCCCACCATGCATTCAGTTTGTCTTTTTTTTGAGGAATGAATAAGAAGATAGGCAGAAACACAATTTAGGTGCTGGAGAGTCAATGATTAGCACGTCCCGGGTACTGTACTCCCTTGGCTGGAGTTTATAGTCTAGAAGAATAAATTGCTTTATTGGCTAAGAGTGTAGCACTCTGGGGTTGGATGAAAGTGAAGATAGAACTAAAATGGTTCTCCTGTCTACACCCTCCCTGGGCCTCAGTTTCCCTAGTTCTTGGGCCACTCACCATTTTCCATTCCCCTGACACACTCTTGGCTCAAAAGACAGCACTCAAAATAGCAGCTGTTCCACAAAGCATTTTCCTCCTTGGAAGCAGAGCATGATGGAAGTTTCCCGAGGATGACCACTTCCTAACAGAATACCCTCATTCTGCAGGGAGCTGAAAATACTGATAGGCCCGGATCAAGCTTACCATATAAATTGATGTATCGAATGCAACTCTCAACTACAAGTGGGATAGCTTGTCCTGAGTCCTTAAGAAACAAAAAAAAATTTGTGAGTTTTATTGATAACAAAAAAGAAACCACAGAGAAAAAGACAATTCCAGACACAGATTACAAACTCAAGCCAGAATATTAGTCCCATCATGTTAGTAGGAAAACAAGCAAGGAACTGCTAACCCTGAAGTTTTTGTAAACAATTAAAATAGAAAGTCATTATTTATGTGCAGAAAATGGCATAGCTAAGATCATTTGAAAGAAATGCTCTGTCTTGTTCCCTAGCTGGGAATGATGTGGAGTCAGGAGGCCGGATAGATCTGGGGGTGGGGGGAAAAGTGATTTATCAAATTGTGGAGTTTCCTCAGTTCTTTGGAGGAGGCTGGAGGCTGATCTTTAAGAATTCTCAGCCTTTCATTCCACTTTGCCCCAACTCAACACGATTCTCAGGGATTAGACATAAAAAGGCAGAATGAAGACTTTGTCCTATTACCTATTGCCAGACTTAATAAAATATCAAGGCTGACCCCCAGGGGTCCTTTTGAGCTCCTAGAAGGGGAAATCTCTACTCATGAGGTCATAACCCAACCCTTCAGGTGCATCCTTGGTGTAACAATCAACATGTTACCAGGAAAAGTTCAAAAAGCAGTATATGTCAGGTTTGGGTCATGTAACGTTCAACCTTTGTCAAGAAGGCTGACTAAGATGCAATTCTAAACATATCCACCAGGGGTGTGAAGGTGTTGTGAGGCGCCGTAGGATGAGCGCTGGAATCAGAATCAGAGCCCTCCAGCTGCTCCTCAGAAATCCTATACAGGGTCACTATGCAGCACTTAACAACTACAACAACAACATTCTGTTATGACTCCTGGTGTGATGCTGTAGGATAAGCCCGGGACTGCTAACAGTAAAGTTGGCAGTTCAAACCCACCAGCTGCTCCTTGAAAACCCTATACAGGGTTGCTGTGAGCCGGCACCAACTCGATGACAATAACAACAATACTCTGTTAAATCTAGGGATGATAAGAGTCGGAACCACCACCACCACCAACAGACTGGCCTACAACCACAAAGGGCTGGGCAAGGAGCACTTTTCTGTTGGATTCTATGATTGTTTGAGCTCTCTGCTATTCCTAGTCTCTGAGTTGTTGTTGTTGTTGTTAAGTGCCGTCGAGTCGGTTCCGACCCATAGCGACCCTGTACAGGGTTTCCGAGGCTGTAAATCTTTACGGGAGTAGAAAGCCTCATCTTTCTCCCGCGGAGCGGCTGGTAGTTTCGAACCGCTGACCTTAAGGTTTGCAGCCCGATTCGTAACCACTACGCTACCAGAGCTCCTTTAGTCTCTGGGAGGGCATGAAATATTTTTTAAGCATTCTGAAAAAAGAGATCAAAATCAATGACTAGCCCCTTAAAATGGAGTTCTGGTGTGGCACTGCAGGATAATGCACTGAACCGCAAGGTCAGTTTGAGCTGCAAAACTGGCAATTCAAATTCACCAGCCACTCCTCAGAAACCCTATACAGGGTCACTATGAGTTGGAATGGACTCAGTGGCTCTTAACAATAACAACAGCAGCCCCTTAAAAGGTGAGGAAACAATGAGGCGTACACTAGAAAAAGGGCAGAGAAAACCATGAATGAAAACCAAGAATTTGGATGTTTGCTTGGTTCCTCCATACCCAACTTTTGAGTTATTTTCTTGAGTAGCTGTGGCCAGGGGCAGGACCTGACTATGGATTCATGTGACAACAGGAAAGGGGGCCTCTATTCTGGAAGTCAGAACTAAAGACTGGTTTCATCCAGCTGAGTGGAGCTAACGTGCCTTTCTAGTAAATACCTGGTTCCTGGTTCGAGCATTTCTTCTTCCTCTGATAACAAAAAAGAAACAGGCAGCAGAGCAGGAGAAAAAGAAAAGATTACGCAGGAATAAGATCGGTTAGAGTAAGCAGATCCTTCAGAGTCCGTGAACGCGGAATGCAATGGCAGCCACCAAAGGTCCTGGGGATTCTGCCAAATAGCCTGCCTGCTGCTGGGAGGGCCACCCCAGGCTCAGAGGCTCCTGGGTGATCGGGACTTGCCTCAAGTCAGCCTTTCAATATGACTGCCTTGACCTTCCTCCCAGGATACCAAGGGATCCACGGGCCTCTTTCTGTCCTTGTCAAGTGCAGGCAGTGTGCATACTGAATCCCTTCCTCATCCCATGTCCCTTTTCAACACATGGGGCTGTTTGTTCACCTGGGTGAGAACCTATCTAAGACCCCCTAAGGAAAGCTTAGCTTCCTACACAAAGGAGACACCTGTCTGCGTCTGTCCCATTTTCTAGGTTGGAGAGCACTATCTGCTCTCTCTCCCACATGTGTCGAGGCTCTGGTGTAAGCACTAGGTTTCATCCAGGCCCTCTGAGGAGGCCATAGGTCCTTAGCTGTGTGAACTGCTCAGTCTCTGGCATCTCAACAGCTGGAATGATGTGTTAATGGGTATGTTGGCTAACCCTACCTTAACCCTAGAATTGACACAACGGCATCATCAAATGGAACTCGAGGAGCCGTACCCTAAAAGCTAATGAGAATAACATTAATAGCCAATACTTACAATGTCCTCTAGGAACCTGGTGTTTATGATTTCCTTTAGTCCTCCGAACAAACACAAGAGGTAGGTCATTATTGTTCTTGTTTTACAGAAACAAGGTGGGGATTCACTCCCTCTCCCAGAGCTCTAGCTCCTAGACTTCAAAATTTATTTATATTAAGAATTGGGGTTCCTTCTATCTGAGAGGAGAAAAAAAAAAAGCAAGAATTTTGAGAAGAGTCAACTCAATGTAGGGTTGTTGTTGTTGTTGTTAAGTGCTGTCGAGTCGGTTCCGACCCATAGCGACCCTGTACAGGGTTTCCGAGGCTGTAAATCTTTACGGGAGCAGAAAGCTTCATCTTTCTCCCGCGGAACAGCTGGTAGTTTCAAACTGCTGATTTTGGGGTTCGCAGCAAAAAAACTAACTCCAACGTTTATCTATCATTGACCTGGGGAAGTTTCCTAATAGTCATTATAATCATGGAGTCCCGAGGATGTCATTTTATGGGGAAACTTTACACAGGTGTGGTATTTCAAAACTGGGGATTTGATTTCAAATCTCATCTGCAATAATTACTGTCTTTTCATTTTCTGAAAGCTAATCATCCTTGAGAATCAGAACAATGTCATGTGCAGTTTTGGTGTGCAGTATGAGTTTGTGAGCTGTCGGGTTAACCTGTGAATTAAGTACAGTGCCACTGTACCTCCATATCGTCCATCTCATTTTATCTGACATTTCACACTTACAACAGTAGTAAAATACCAACTGGAGCGACGGTGTGCATTAATGCCATACATCGAGTTGTGAGGCATGAGCAATGCTGGCTGTGATGGTGGTATGTCAGCTGGGCGGGGCCATGGCTCTCAGTGGTTTGACAGTGAAGCGATGATGTCATTTGGCAGCTGTGTCATAATGTAAATGAGGTCGTGATAACACAGTCATCCTCCATTTGGGGATCTTATGTGATCAATCCCCATTTTCACAGAACACCAATTTTGAGTAACAAGTGGTCTTTGGAATCTTACCCTGTTGATAAGTGAGGAGAGGGCTAATAGGGAAAAGCAATAATGTTTCCTATGCCATATTTTTCTCAGTCAAAAGAGTTTGAATTCTTCTATATAGCCTTCTTGGCAGGAGTCCTGGTGGTGCAGCAGGATAAGCACTGGACTACTAATCATTAACTACAAGGTCGGTGGTTGAGGCTACCAATTGCTCCATGGGAGACAGATGAGACTTTCTGCTACTGTAAAGATTTACAGGCTTGGACACTGATAGAGGTTTGCTATGAGTCTGGACTAGAGGGTACTGGTACTGAACAACAACAACTGTCCCTTTAGGAGACTGTGCAATTGTTCCAACAATACTGCCAGGCCAGCCCTAGCATATTCCTCCTACTGTTTTGCACCTCCAAAGGTTCTGCATAGCTGAGCCTGGCATGATATTGACATGTCAATAGACTAAGGGGAAGAAATGGCACTGTTGATAATGGCATCCTTGCTATATAGGCTTTAAAGGAGACTTAGCTAAGCAGTTTCAGGCAGTGGCTTTACGTTCACAATATGAATGTGGTTTTCCAAGGTGATTACCTCAAAGGGACAGACATCAGATTGTGTTTGTCAGGAGGAACAAAGATCACTTTACAGTCATATATTATGTGTAGTCTCTTCCTATTAAGGGGCTAGTTAAGTGGAACACCTAATCACCTAATAATGTCAGGTAAGAGTCAGCTACTTCCCGACTGATCACCACTAATTTCTAAGGAACTGTGCCTATGAAGGGAGGTGTCTGTGTCTTTGAGCCTTCATTTTATTGATTCCTTCTGTCCTACTCTTCTCCTCTTGATTCCTTGCCTTCCTTCAAAGGAATCCCTTCTGTCCTACTCTTCTCCTCTTGATTCCTTGCCTTCCTTCAAAGCCTTGCAAGCAGTCTCCAGTCCTCTTCTGATGGAGAGCTCTTCTTGTTCTGATCTCTCACAGAAATAGTTTGTGTTGATAATTCCCTAAGCACAGGTCCTGAACCATCTTACACTCTGAGTTTCAAACCTCCCAAGCTGCCCCTGAGGACAGTGGGAGTAACTAATATGACTTGCCAGTCCTCTCTGAGCTATGGAAAGTGGATCTTTTGGGGGCAAGAGTGAATGAGAAGACAATCTTGGAGGAGAGAGAGGAAGGATGAAGAGAGGACTCTTTGGCAAAGTCCCACCCTCCCATGATCTATTGGATGGTAAACTGTTCCCCTTGGGTCATCTCCAAACACGACCTCCTTCCTGATGTACCTATGAGGCCCCAAGCTTCATGCCTCTTGAAGTTCCATGCCCCAGCCCATCTCAGCTTGCACCCTTCTGTTCCACGGTCTCTTCCCTTCCCAGCACTTAGCACACAGGCAGAGACAGTCCTGAGGCAGAGGCTGATCCTGAATGTCCTCTCCCATCCCTGGGTATGCAAATTCTGTATCCAGCCCCTCATTACCTTGAAAGTCCTGCACTGCACCCTGTCTGAGGAGCTGGAGCCTGGGCTGCCTGCTCCCAAATCATTAGCAACATCTAAGAACTGTTACACCTCTCTTGATAGATCTCACTTTTGTTTTCTGCAGGAAGCATCTTCCTTGGATGGTGCTTGGCTCTTGAATAATTGGCAGAGATTTTCTTCCCCTTTTTCTCAAAATAAAGGGTTACGAAGGCATCTTCCCTTCCTCACGTACTTTCCCCACCTGATGATCCTGTCAACTCCATCACCATCTTATTTTGCCTTCAGCTACTATACCAGAATGGCTTTATTATGTAAGGAGTTCTGGTAGCATAGTGGATTATGAACTGGGCTACCAATTGCAAGGTTAACAGTTCAAATGTACCAGTCTCGCCACAGGAAAAAGATGAGGCTTTCTGCTCCTGTAAAGATTTATAGCCTTGGAATCCCTATACAGCATCAGTATGAGTTGGAACTCACACCACCAAACCACCGTATTTTGTACCCTTACCCTTTACCAAGGAACAAAAACTCAAATGGGTGAAACTCTTAAGTTTGCAAAGGGTTAAACTGGAATTCTACAGGGGCTACCTCAAGTCTTCTCCTTTCTACAAAACTGCCTAACAAGAAGCAAAACTAGGTGTCAGGATTTTCTCTCATAAGAATGTCATGTTTCCTTTGCTGGCATACTCTTAAAAAACAAATCACTTGAATGAAAACACTACCATCTGCATGGATGTGTTATGTGTGTGTTGCTTTCAATCAATCCTCTTTGGGAAACATGGGAGGGAAGCAAGGAAACACCTTTTCTCACTGCACCTTGCACATAGGGACAGCACCTCCCAACAGTAGGCTCTGACTGGCTAGGACCGCTCTGCTGGCGTTCCAACCCCCTGGCACCTCATCCCTGCTTGGTTTTCAATGGGGATCACAGGAGGGCACTTAGGAGCAACTTCTCAGAGGGAGAAGTAGCTCTAATGAGAAGGCCTCACTGAAGTTTAGAGCAGGTGCAGCCAGGAAGTAGCTCCAGTGGATGAATTCTAATTCTGGGTCAGGCAAGGGTTGTGACTGGATGAGGATTTGTACAGAGACAGGCTGCCATTACAGTGGGCGCATTCGCGGACTCTACGGCTCCCCAGCAAGTACCTTAATGAACGCTTCCATACTGCCGTTAAAGAGTTTATGGCTATACACTGAGAGAGGCCTAGGTCTCCTCATTTTCTGTGGTTTAGGGGGAAGGCAGGGGGGCCTAGGGGAAAACGGAACAAAAGAAACAAGAAAACAACCAACATAAACATACAAATGGGAAAGATGCTCTTAAAACCTATTTCTGGAATAGAACACAAAATGTAAATGAAAGGCCCGAGCCCCTGAGACCCCAGCGCACTGGTGGCCAATGCACCATCTGAAGGCCTTTGGATATCGAGGGAATCTTAATTTACCCAGCATGTTAAGCAGAAATACTCTTATAAAATACAAATGCATTCTAAATCGTAGTGGGGAAATAATAGTGACCAGGAAACCATTGATCTCCAATCAAAGACTGTCATCCTACAAAGCTGACCAGATAGAGAGGGAATCAGGGGAGAGATAGGTAGTCTGTAGCCTGAGAAAGCAAGAGACTTTCAAAGGTGATTGGAAGGGTTAATTTTCATTGTTTTGGCTTAAATTCATCCCTTAGCCTCAGAATGTACTAGGGCACTAACACCTCTTAGCATTTCAAATGCACTTGACTAATCTTTATTTCATTGATCTAAGGGCCAGAGAATTATTATTCTCATTTTAGAGATGAAGAAACTGATGCCCAGAGGGAGGCAACAGCTTCTTTGGTGACCCGGAGAAGACAATAATCCTGTTCTTTAGTGAAACATATACTTCCTTTTAAAGTGCATTTAAATCCATGATCACATTTAATGTGATGTCAACAGGGATAATGGGATTCCCAGAGGTTCCGTTTTATTCAAGCAGAAACTGAGGCTAAGAGGAGTGCACTGGCAGATACAGACCTCAAACTCTGGCCTAATGGCTCCAAGTCCAGGATTTTCCCCACCATGTCACAATCATAGAGCCTGAAGGTCCTTTTTCATTTCCATCCATCCCATTAACCCTGGTCAGTGGAGGATTGATTCATGGTCAGGTTGAAAGTGTCTTGCTTTACTTTAGGATCCGTTCCATTCCCTGTGTTCCATTCTTGGCCACAGGGAGAGAAAATCACACCACAGTTCACTGGGGACAGTATAACAACCACAAACACTGGACTGAATTCCAGGGTTGCTCATCATGCATATACCTGTGTCAGCTTATTTGCTCATCTTTCACCATTCAAGTTGGCCTGATTCAATTCTGCCAGGGCTTTCTGAGTTTAGGAGGCAGGTAATTTCCCAATGGTTTTGTTGAAAATTGGGGAGTGACAACTAAGGACCTAGTCCAGCATGGATAAGGCTCACACATGATCAGCAAAGTCCAGATGCTCTACCAGGAAGACTTTGGATGGATTTCCATGAATGGGCAAGGCATTTTATGGACTTTGCAGCCAATCAAGATGAGTGGGGCTCACTCCTCTCTCTGCTTACTGGCCTTACTTGTCTTGTTCAATAGCCCAACCCATCTAGGGAATGCTAACCAACTTCGTCTAGGTGTTTGAGTACTGAGCAAATGCGGCTAGCTCCAGGACATGCATGGGCAAAGACACAGTTGAATTTAAATATCATGCCACCCAAACAGAACCAAAATCACAGCATAGACCAAGGGACTTGATTTCACATCAATAGGGAACTTTAAAAATAAAACAAAAACAAAACAAAACTGAAAAATGTTGAAAAGAAACAACAGGCAAGATTATTTTGAGCCCATCTTGGATCTATGTCAATTTGGTTAGCTAAGTCCATGTCATTTCTTCTTCTTCTTCTTCTTTTTTTTTTCACAAGTTACTTATTTTTTGAGGATGTGTGTATGTGGGTGGCATTTCTTATTTTCAATCTGCTTCTGAATTTCCAAATGCAAAACCCAAAAGAGAATGCCAAAAATGTGACACAAGGACATAGGTTCTAAGTGTTGGGATCAGAAGTAACTTGAGGATAGCAAACTTCATCACCTACTTTTCATCGTGTTTTGGGGTTTTTGAGTGGTCCTAGATCATTTCCTTATCTATCTATCAACAACCTGTGAGGTAAGCTGGAATCATTGAACTCATTTACACATAAGGTGAATGAGCCCACCAGAGCTGAAGAGTCTTGCTCAAGATCACACACGTTCAGTGTGATTGAAGCTGGGAGTGGAACTCAGCTCCATGTGTGAGCATAAACCTGGGAAAGGGATTTTATCACAGAACAATCAGCAGTAGCATTAAAGCCCATTTTAAACTCTCCTGGTCATAAAGGTGGAAAACACCCAATATTAAAAATCTATAATGTCTACCAGGAGGGTTTCTTAAAAGAAGTCCTTAGGGTTTTTTTTGTTTTTTTTTTTTTGGTAAAGTTTCCAGAATGGAATAAAGGGAAACTAGAATATGTATATATGTATATACCATTTCTCTTGCCCAATCCAGAAAGCAAATGACTGTTTGAATCACATCTTTCTTTGTGTGCTGCTCTGGGCATGAACTGGGAGCTCTGACAAGGAAACGTAGCTATCCCAAGTTTGCACAACATCAAATTGATCCAGACTTACTGAAGTGCTGGGTGGGGCACAAAGTGGGGAGCAGGGGAGCAGCTCAGCCAAGGAAAGTGGGGCAGCCTAAGCCTTCCATCTCTTCTGCTGCTCAGTTGCAGAGTGAAAAGGAAAGAAAGAAAGAGAGGCAGGGAAAACAGAACAGAGAAAACCACAGAGAGGAAGAAAGAGAAACCAGAGACCAATGTTCCCTTTCTGCCTTTCAACCAAGATTAAAATGAACATATGCTGGTAATACAGGAATTGACCTTAAAATCATTCTGTGACCCGAGTGATAAGAATTAAAATATGTCCAAGGTAACTCAATAGGTTGATACCCATGTGGGTCTCAATGTGTACACTGGTGACAGTATTGAAGTTTCATGGCAGTTAGGTTCTTGGGGCTGTGCACCAGGCACCTGTTGCATCCTTTTGGGCAAGAAATCTCACTTAATTTCACCTCTAAGCCAGATAACACAGGTAAGGCATCCTCAGGGAAACCAAGCTTTAGTTTGAATAATGATAATCAAGCTTTATACTTGCATCTTGCTTTGCCATGAATGAAGGAGCCCTGGTGTTGCAATGGGTTAAGCACTGGGCCACTAACCACAAGATTAGAAATTCAATCCAGTCACTCCATGGGAGAAAGATGAGGCTAGTTGCTGTCATGAAGATTTCCAGTCTGGGAACCCCTAATGAGCAGTTCTAGTTTGTCCTATAGGGTTGTTCTGAGTCAGAACGACACGATGACAGTGGATTTGGTTTGGTTTGGTTCCCATTAATAATAAATATACTATCCAAGTGAACTATCGTGTTGAAAAAGCCTAAGTTACAGACTTATAATGAAATTGGGCTGTTCTAGGGTGAGGTTTTTAAATGGGAGAAAAATATAAGTTGCAGCCAATATGCAATGATTGATCTGTCTCCATGAAGTCATCAGAACTTGGCTCAAGGGGATCTGCTTCAATGTTCATAAAAAATGACACCCAACCATATGTAGGAAACATATGGAAGACAAAGAGAGTCATTCCCCAAGGACTTTTAAGATTAATTTCAAAACTACCCCCAAGTTGGCAAGTAGTTCCCAACAAAGCAAATGCTTTTGGAAGGGATCACTTTTTGTTTACTAGCAAAGTTTCTTTTGCCCTTGTCCAGCGATGGCAGTGCAGATGGCTGGATTTGCAGTTTATTACAGTATAAGTAGGAGGTCTACTTTTCCCAGTTTGACTTTCCCAGGCCCTAGGTCAAAGAGGATGCAGAGGGCAATACCTCAGGGTTCTTTGTCTAAACAAAACCAAACCCCGGCACTTTCCCCTGAGGTGGGGCCCTGAGACCAGGCCAAGGGCTTGATCACAGATCCCACCTCCTGCAATCTGCTGGAACAATCTTCTCCCCCAAGAGCTCTAGGAATTAGGTGGAAGCACTGGATGGCTCAATTGTCTGCCATCTGTTTCACTGTTTGCAGACTTTGGTGTAAAATGTAGCATCTGTTGTATTGGGACTATGATGACATCCTCTTGTTGGAGGGCGGTGATTAAGGGGTTTGTTTCTACAAGGTTCTTAGAAAGGACCCTGTACATCTACTGACCTATGTATAAAACAGCTTGGGCCTGGCCTTATGAGTCATCCTGCACCCAAACTGTGCAAACCTAAGGAACAGCTGCAGAGGCTACACTTCTGGAAAGCACTGTTTCCCTGAGTCTGGGTCCAGCAAACGGGAAACTCCAGAGCTCTTCCAAGCCTCTTTCCAGCCAAGTCCCTTCCAGAAGAGCAGAAGCAAATTGAGGATTCATCTTTCCTCCTGCCAAATACAGCAGCTTTCCAGGATTCTAGGCCACTGGAAAAAATTTGTGGGACAAGGATCTCCTTGGGGCACTAGGATCAGAAAGTGAGGAAAAGAAGTAGCTCTCAACGGTTCTATGATGGAAGAACGCAGGTCTTGGGTTCACTGGCTGAATGCATGTTGGGCAATGGAGCAGCTACTGTTTATGCCACCTGGGCCAAAGCTGGGGAATCAGAAATGGACAGGTTCACAGAAACAACTTGGGTAAAGGGCCCAGTCACGAAAAGCACTTGCCAACTCTCCGTGGCCAAGTGAAAAGTGTTCATTGGCTCTGGTATGCTGAGGGAAAAGCGCAAAGTGTTGAGCAAGCTTGAGATAAACAGAAGTTGTCCATGTGTTACTTTCCCAGCAAGGGATCTCCCATAGGCTCATGTCAGTACCTGTGAGGTTTGAAGCCAGCCTGTGGCAGTTAGGGCATTGGTACCTGCTTGGGTGTACAAGCACATGCGTAGGCTCATACCCGTGCAGCGGGAACCCAATCCAAAGCCTTGGCCAATTCTGACTGGGATCCCTAGGATGGACCCACAGCCCAAATTGGGAAGTTTGCTTGCAGCCACATAACAGATGTGGAGAGAGGCCAACACCCATCTCCACTCTGGAGTATGATGGCCCCACTCTATTGGAGAGCCCAAGGGGAGAGTGACCCCCAGTAGCTCTGAAGACTCCCCTCTCCCATAACCAGCCTGGAGAGGGGATGGTCTCATCACTCTAAAGCTACAACAAGCAAAGCAGCCAAACAGCAAAGTTGCCTTCCCCTTAGCACACCCAGACCACGCTGTAGGGACCGTCATGAAGAGTGTTCCACCCTGGAAACACCCTCACTCCTCTGAGCTTCAGCAGTGCCTGTCTTCCCATCTTCCCCAGCTTATCCTCCCACTTCTCTTCTTCCCCACCTCATCCCACCCTCACTCAGACCAAGAGGTGAACAAAGACTCTCCAGCTCTTACCTGGTGGTGCCACATTCTGCTCTTTCCCCTAGAAAGAAAAGTAGACAGTGATTTTTTTCTTAACCAGAGAACATCTTTTGCCAAAAACACAGTAGCAAGTGGTCTTACTTGCTTGTGTTCAGTGGAATCTAATTATGCCTAAGGCATGGTTGGTCGGGGAGAACTGCAGCTTCTTGATCCCCCAGTGACTCTTATGAGTAGGGTTGTATTCACTCACATCTTTTCAGTGATTCTCAAAGTACAGTCTGTTGACCACTTGCATCAGAATAATTTGGCACTCTTATGAAAAAGTATAGATTTCTTGGCTCTACCAGGTGTCTCTGAATAGATTCTGAGAGAAGAACCCAGGAATCTGCATTTTAACTAACACCACATGCTATCCCTTTTACACAAACCCAAATTTAAGAACGTCTGCACTGATATATTTCAACTAATATTTATGAACTACCTGTTATATGCCTGGCACTGAAGGACACCAGCCATAGGACACGTGTGTTTGGAGTCACAGACAAATTCCTACCAGTTAACCAGTTACCATCTAGTTGACACTGACTCATGGTGACCCCGTGTGGGTCAGGGTAGAACTGCACTCCGTAGGGTTTTTAATGACTGATAGGAAGTAGATCACTTGGCTTTTTTCTGAGACACCTCTGGAGGGTCTCAACCGCCAACCTTTTGGTTAGCATCCCAGTGAACTAATCATTTGCCCCACCTAGGGTCCCCTACCAGACACCAGTTTTAGTTGATTTTTTAGTTTCAGATCTCTGGTTAAAACCAATGGCAATCTCTGACAAAAGGGGTCAGTCAATGTCCTGGGGTAGTACTGTATGAGAAGGGTCACTATAAACACATCATTTCCCTCAGGGCTACAGACAACCTGACTCTGACTTACAAAAGGGGTTTTCAGGAGGTGTGTCCCCTCCATCTCCTCTAAGCTCCCCAATTGTCCACTCTTCTGTGAACCCAGCACACTAAGTGGCTACCATCACCTTTGCCCATGCGCCCCTCTGCCTGGGATACTCTTTTCCCAGTTTTTCATGAGACTTGTATCTTCTCATCGTACCAACTTCTAACGAATAACAGAAATCAAAATGGCTCAGGGTTGCAGAAAACGAAGAAGGTAATCAGTGTCCCAGGATTAAGCATAATTAAGAATTAATGTATTGGTGATGTTTGCTGTGTGTATTTTCATAAAAAAAAAAAAAAATAACAATAAAAGAGATGTTTTGCCCTTATGTGCTAGTAGTCCTTGAGTGGTACAAATGACTAAGGCATTTGGCTGCTAACCGAAAGGGTGAAAGTTCAAGTCCAAAGAAAGGGTTGCTGATCTACTTGCAAAAATGTAGCCACTGCAAACCCTATGGAGCACAGTTCTCTCCTGACACACACACTGTCCCATGAGTTAGGATCAGAGTCGACTTGAAGGCACCTGGTTATTGTTTTTATCTTCCGAGGCTTTATTGGGATTTAAAAATACATATTTCATTATTGGTAGCTCAGTCATTTTTTAGAAGGTCAGATCATCTGATCTTGGTGGGCATTTTGCTCTGCAATGGGCTATTAAATCTTAGCCTGAAGAGGTTCTGTCCCATCTCTTTTATGAACATTACATTTTTTATCCTTGAGAAGCTTTAGTAAATTGAAAAGCACCAGTATCGTGGGTATAAACCCTAGCACTTACTATCCAAACCCCAGAGGACGAAAAATGTCATAGATATAAGACTCAGAGATGAGGATAAAATGACCAATTTGTAGCACAATGTAGCACCAGTGTGGTGCTGTAGGTTAATGTGCTGGACTACAAGGTCGATTTGAACCACAAGATCAGCAGTTCAAGTTCACCAGCCGCTCCTCAGAAACCCTATACAGGGTCGCTATGGGTCGGAACCAACTCGACAGCATTTAAAAACAACAACAACAACAACAACAAGGGCATATAGAATTCCTGATATGGCACTGTAGAATAAGCACTGGACTGCTAACCACAAAGCCAGTGGTTCAAACCCACCAGCTGCTCCTAGGAAACCCTATACAGGGTTGCTATGAGTTGGAACTAACTCAACAGCACGTAACAACAGTAACAACAGCAAGGGCATATAAATAAGGGTGTGTATGCTTGTTCTCAAATTGTGCTGGTGATATCAGTAGTAACAAGGATGCCAATTTGCTGAGCACCTGGAAGTCTCTTGACTTGTAATATTGAGGTCAATCATGTTTAGAAGTTCACTTCTAGATGAAGATGATTCAAAAGACCTGTTTCCTTTAACTTGTGGCCTCTTTAAGCTGAGTATTTTAGAGAAATTAAGGCACTCAGAATGATACTTTATTTTATTGCTGTTGAGGTGTTGAGGACAGGGGAGGTAGGGGAAAGACGAGAATCTTGTATTTTCAGCCAAATATTGTCAGTCAAAATATCACACTTGGCCTCATATCTCACACCTATTTTGACATTTCCAGATCCTTTCTACCTATAGCAAGTGACCCTCAGATAACAGAAAAAGACTGCTGATGTAGGTATAACTGTACTCTTATAAGAATTTCTGAATGGAGGGGTCAAAATGCACAGGAAGAGGTGTCGTCTAACCCTCCATGCATCATCATATAACCCCAAAGGGTACACCACACAGGTCCGTCCCCCCACCTCACCCCCTGACCGCCAGCACACAGCCCTTCTCCTACACTGAGTCCAGTGTCCCCAGCCGTTCCATGTGTCCACATTATCATCTATGTCTCTATCCCTGGTGTCACTGCCTCTCTGGATAGGGTTCCGCTCTCTGTTCTTCTCACTTGATGTTCCCAGGGACCTCCGCTCCTGGGTTGCAAAATCGATCACTCTCCTCCTTTTGTCAAAAAACATCTACCTCTATATTTCCTAGCCTTACAGTCAGACCTGATGGCAATTATTAACTATTGTACCACATGAGGCTTATCCCCACTTCCTTTTGCCAGTCCAGTCCCAATGGATTGGAAATCATTCAGTGGTGATTCTACCTTCCCCCACTCCATCTGGAACTAGGCTCCCTCTTTATAGGGCCCCCCATTTTGGGTAGCCAATGTCTATGTTGCCCATCCCTGTCAATCCTGTGTACCGAGGGGGTGGGAGTTATCCTTGCTGTAAAGATTTGTTCCCTTTTTTGAGCTAGTACGTCCATAAGTATAGATAAAGTTCATCAAATTGTAGCAGGTTACTCTCCCCCTTCGCCCCTTCTTTCTTCTTCTAGTCGAGTTCTGATCATCTAGCCATCGAAGCCAGGTCAAGTGCATACTATCTGCAAGTATGGGTGTTCTTGTGCCTCTCCCCTCACTTCATAACAGCAGGACACTTCACTCTCTACTCTAGTCCTCTGGGCCCAGGAGTCCCTGGGTCTTGCCATACTGCTGGCCATCCAGGTCTCCACCCAGATTCACAGGGGCCTATTGAATGTGGTCAGGCTTAGCTCGCAACTTCCTTGCTGTTTTTTCCCCCTCTTCCCTTATCGGTGACCAATATGGTCACCATCCAGACCACACGCCAGCTCATGTATTCCCCTTGAGTCTCAGTCTTAGAAGGGGGTTTGTTCTGATGGGTCCCAATCACTTCCTTGATGGCTCTCAGGCAAACAGCTTGCTTGTTCTTATAGTAATCAATCAGACTGCCGTTATTGTTTCAGATTTTTCCTGCCTGTCTTTCTTTCACAAAGCATCTTCTGTTCTTCTAGCCACTCCAGGCTGGTCTACTTGTCCTTTCCAGTGGAAATTTCCTACCTCAGTCGGTTCTGGATGGGGTTCTGAATTCCACCTATGGTCTTGTGCAGTGTAACTTGCAGTATTTTCCTTTGTATCATGATTTTTTCACTTGTGGGTGTGGGAAACTGACATTCTGGACCTTATGGTAGATACAGAGCTCTGGTGTTGTTCTGTGAAAACAGCTTCTGTGAGTTTTCAATCCCTCCCCCACAGAGCCTTTCCCACCTGACTGTCTCTGCTGTCCGCCCAAACCAGAAGTCCCTTATCTATTCTACTCTCTTGACTGTTATGTTTAATCCATTTACATTCAGTGTAATTATCAATAGGTATGAATTGATTGCTATAATTTTTCTGTGTGTTCTTTTGTGGTGGGGCTGGATTCTTTGTTCCATATAATTATCTGTGCTGAGTTCAATTTGTTTTTGGGTTTCTTTTCATTTCTGTTGTGTAAGTGTTTACTAAATCTTTCTAATTTTCTTCTTTTTAAAAATTTGATGTGCAGGTGTATAATTTTTCTTTGAGGTTTCCCTGTAATTCTGGACCTTATGGTAGATACAGAGTTCTGGTGTTGTTTTTTCCCCTTTTTGCTTTGTAGTTGACTTCATTATACTTTGAGATCTTGTTTTATTTTAATTACTT